CTCGCGGGCAGCAGCGCCTGCGGCGCGCCGCCGCGGCCGACGGCGGCGGTGTCCAGCAGCGCAGCGGAGCGCGCCGTCGGCGCCGGGAACGACAGCAGGCCCGCCGTTAGCGCGGCCGCGGCGCCGGCGCCGGCGCCCCCGCCGCCGCCGCCGCGGGCCGCTGCGCGCATGAGCCCGAGGCCGTGGCAGGCCTCCGCCACCGCGAGCTGCACCGGCTGGCAGATATCCTCATATCCAGGGTACTGCTCCGGCATCCGCGCCGCCCAGCCCTCCGCGCTGCCGGCCCACATGTCCGCCTCCTGGAGGGCCCCTTGCGGCGCCGCTGCAGCCGCCGCCGCCTCGGGGCGCGCGAGCGCGGCGACGATCGCCAGCAGCCGCTGCGGACGCCCCAGGCCGCGGCAGAAGGCGGCGACTTCTTGCTGAAGCGCCAGGTACCGCGGCGGGTCCGGCCGCGGCACGCAGCGCGGTGCGAGGCGCGCGGCGGCGCCGAGCGCGGCCGCGCGGCGGGAGAGCGCGTCGGACAGCGCGGGCGCAGCGTCGGGGCCGCCGGGCAGCAGCTGCAGCATGTGCTGCACCTGAGAGCGCAGCGCGCGAGGGATCCAGGGTTTAGTTTTGGTCAATCTGACATTGCCAGCGTACAAAGCATGGGTGCGCAGGCGACGCCGTCAAAAGCCAGGCAGCACCCCCCTCCTCTTTGCGCAGGCACCCCTAACACAGCACGGATCCTGGCTGTACACGGGCCTCCGCGGCCGCCGCCCATCCAACAAACATGCCCCGAAGCCGGCTCCGCAGCTCGCCTGCGCCTCAGGCTCCAGCCACTCCCCCACATAAGCCAGCAGTGCGTCCCGCTTGAGGCCGTACTTGCCGGCCGGGTCCACCCCCGCGGGCGGCGCGACGAGCTGCAGCCGCGCGGCGCCCAGCAGCGCCCACGCGCGGCCCAGCGCAGAAAGGCGCCGCTCCCACGCGCCGCCGCCGCCGCCGCCGCCGCCCTGGAGGAGGGCCGATTCGATGCAGGGCAGCAGCAGCTGCGGGGCGGCTTCCCGCAGGGTGTCGTGGCAGCTGCCCTCCAGCAGCGCCGCCAGCTCAGACAGCAGCGCCGCCGCGGCGGCGCTGCCGTCGGCCCCGGCGCCCTCCGGCCATGCCGCAAGCGCGAGGGCGGCCGCGCGCAGGCGCCGCGACGCGTCCGCAGAGGGCATGCTGGTCGTGTGTGCCAGCAGCACCTGCGCCAGCAGCGCGCGCAGGCAGCGCCAAGACGCGCGCGACTCAGGGTCTGCGACGGCCGCCGCCGCCGTCGAGGCCGCGGCGGCGCCCGGCGAAACGAGCGCCTGTGGCCGCCGCGCAAGGTGCCTCGCCGCGAGGCGCAGCTGCTGCAGGCGCGCCGCCTTGGTGCGCACGTCGGCCGTGCCGCCGTCCAGGAGCGCCAAAATTGCGGCCGTCTCGCCGGCGGAGTGGAGCGCAACCGGGCCGGCGATCGCGGGCGCCGCGGCGTGCTGCGCCGCCGCCGCGCCGCCGCTGCGGTCGCTGCCTGTGGTCATGCCTACTGCCATCAGCGCGCATGCGCCGCCCTGCCAGCGGAACCAGAGCTCGTGGAGCAGCGCCGGCAGCAGCTGCCGCGCAGCCGCCTCCCGCCGCAGCGGCGCGCCGCCGGCGACCGCCTGCAGAAGCCAGGCCAGCTGCTGCAGCGCCGCCTGGTCGAGCGCGCCGCCGGCACACGCGCGCTCCGCGCGGCGCAGCAGCGCGCGCGCGTGTGGCAGCAGCGATGCGGCCGCGCGACGTTGCGCGGGCGGGACCCGCAGCGGCGCCGTGGCGGAGGCGGCGCCGGCGCCGCGCGTGGACTCCCCTCCCTCTTCGATATCCGCATGGGCTGCTGCGAGCAGCTGCAGCCCCCATGCGGTCGCGTCAGCCAGGAGCGCCGCACCATCAGCCGCCGCAGCCAGGCCCTCCAACATGAGCAGCGGCAGCTGCATGGCCCGCGCCTCTGCGCCCGCCAGCGCGACCGGCGCCAGCAGTAGCAACCCCCGCTCCTCCGCGCTGCCGGCGGCGGCATGCGCGTCGGCCGCGGCCGCGGCCGGCGCGGCGCCCGCCGCCGCGCGCTGCCGTCGCAGCGCGCCCGTCAGCAGCGCAACGGCCCTCTCGGCCGCGCGCTCGGCCAGCAAATCGGGCACCCGCAGTGCCCCCTCTGCGGCCTCTGCATCTTCCTGCTCCCCGCCGCCCCCCGCACCCTGCGCCTGCATGAGCGCCGGCGCGAAGCCCAGCATCGCCGCGCCCTCAGCGCACGCGCGCCTCAAGCTGGGGTCGCAGGACAGGCCCGCCGCGAGCGCTGCGGCCAGCGCGTCGCGCTCCGCCGCGGAGAGGCCCGACACAAGCGCCTCAGCGTCTGCTGCAGCGCCGTCGACGTCCATCGAATCGGCGGGCGCGCCGGCGGCCCCGTCGGCGGCGCCCGGGTTGCTGCATATGCGGCGAGCCGCCTCGAGCAGCAGGGCGTCAAAGCTGAGGCCAGCCTCTTCGAGTCCCTCTGGCCGCCCCGTCGCGTCAACAGCAAACGCCGCCCACCCGCCGCCCGCCCGCCGCCGCACCGCGCGCAGCGCGGCGGCGAGCGCGGCGGCGCGGCGCTGGGCGGCTAGCAGCGCGGCCGTGCGC